CGATGTACATTATTCAATTTTGTTTTGAAAATTTTGCGTGAGAAAAATCATTAAAGATCTTAACAACATACCTAAAAATACATATGATATATAACTCTGATTTATTTATTTTTATAAAAAGTAGAGAAAAAACAGTTAACCACTTCAAGAAATATAAAATACATAAACAAAGTAATCCTTTTTAGGGTCTGATTAATATAACAATTAGAAAAACAAAAACAAACAATTTCTTTTGATGTAAGAGAGTAGTTTTTATACTCATGTTAAGCACGGGAAACTTTTATTCTAAAAAGAAAAAAAAACCATAAGACTAAAATAAAATATTTAGTAAGGCCCATAATATTTTAGAGTGGCTTTGTTTCTTCCCAATGTTTTTTTTGTCACGAACATAGTTCATACATTGCCTATCCAAATACAATCATATCCTGAAACCAATGAGGAACAGAAATGCTAACAGTAGAAAAAAACAAATTACGTTGACGAGTGGCCTTAGCGAGTAAGTCCGCTTTCGCATTCTGGTCCCTGGAGCAATACGTGAGTGTAAAGTCAGGGAAGTAAACGCGTAGTTCCGTCAATTCGTCTAACTCCATAGCTATCAACTCCTGGAAATCCGTTGCGAACCGGGTACAATATCTCCGTTTTTGCCTTAGGCTCATCACTGCCCAAAGGAGGCTATGTAACTCTGTGTTTAGAGGAGACAAGTTTCGTCGCATCCCACGTAATCCAAGCAGGTCCGTCTCGCCGTCTTGTACCTGCAAAATCCATCCTACACCACTCGCCGTTTCTTCCCAATGTTATATCAGTCATACCCTTAGAATTTTTTTTTTGTTCGATTACTTTGGTTTGGTGTTGTATAGCTAGAGTTTTGTTCGGATAATTTAGTAGATAAATTTTATGTACAAGTTCAGATTATAATATAAGTGGGTTAGGGTTCGAATTGGTGAATTTTAATTCCCTTCAGTTTGATTTATGTATCTTTTATGTATCTCTAGGTGATACACATTATATAAAACAATTATCGCAAATTCAAATATATACAAGCATGTTTCAAATTATGTTTATGTATATTCATTTCAACCTGCGCACAATACGGT